ACAATTGTTTGCATTTTACGTGTTTGCAAACTTGCAACTTTGGTTCAGGAATTAGATAACTTTGTTTTAACCACCACTAGCATCAAGCAAAACTACAACGAAAGCAGTGTCCGATGTATATAAACTGAAATTTTAAAGATTTAAGAAAGTAGCGATCTCTTTTCCCATGTTTCCAAGTTTGTTTATCCCAATGTTTCGTGATGTGCATTTTCCGTTGATGTATTTAATTGATCAAGAAAAGTTGGTGTTATACCATGCTCTGGACGAAGATTTATGTACTTGGTGTATATTTCAAAAGACTTTCTAGTAACTGTAAATTTATTTTCGTGTGGTTTTCGTTTTAGTATCTTTAAAATTGTGACTAGAAGGTATGGTCCAAAATTATTTACATCTCGAAATTCCAACTCGTCTTTTGCAAGAAACATGTTATTTTGGACAACAATATTTAGCATGTGGGGCCTTCTCGACTAAATGTTTCTATTTTATTTGTAGAAAACATTTTAATCCTTTTGCATATGTATGCTTCAGGTTTTGTTTTCAATAAGGCGTGTAATTTGAAATATACTCGTGTAAAATGATACTATACAATTTAGATTTTTTTCCGAGAATTTGGTTGCCTAGGAGAAAATCTCAAGGTGAATTCATAACCAACAAGTACAGAAGTATCTTATTTTATAAAATTTAAGTCTCACTTACCATGGAAAATTTTGAGGGAATGTTGTCACATGTTACTAAGGATGATTAACATACATATAAAACAATCGCTACTTCCGTAGATTATATAATGTCTAATAAAAAGATCTAGACCGACGACAAACAAATAGACAAACAGGCAGACAGACGGAAACAACAGCCCTATTTTTTCGTATTTTAGGGGTCATGCCAGGTCGAAAAAACATGAAAGTAACGGTCAAGCACAAGAATAGGCTCAAAATGTTTTACATATTACAGATATATAGAAGAAAATCTTGCAATGGCGTCATCAATTTGGGGGAGGGAGGAGATAAATTTTCATTAGGATTTACCGCACTTATTGTTTGTAAAACGTTGTTATAGAAATTTGTTTTTTCCAACCATTTGGATATCAAGGACAAAAATTCAACACAGATTCATAAATCACAAATACAATAGTATATTATTTTATAAAATCTAAATAATATTTATTGAATAGATGACTAAAATTATTACTAATTAAGTCACAGGGGAACAAAATGTTTTGAATATGATTCTTATTATTCTTATTTGATCAAAATTAAATAAAGACCTGGGTATTCTCACATTTTCTACAAAATAAGGTCCTTAATTTGATCAACAAAATAATGCATAGGTAATACGACAAATGCAACTTTTTAAAAAAATTATAAAATTTGATTTTACCATTTTCGTTTTATGATAAAGTAAAAACCAGCCGCATAAATAACACTCCCGCAGCACATAACTAACGGGATAAAATGTTCTTCAGTAGTAGGTAATAGCAATCTGAACCTTAAGTGTTTATTTATATTCATACATCGAAAGAATGTCACATAGAATTAGTTTGATTTGAATGAGTATATTTGACCAATAAAAAATTTGTGATTTGTCATCAATAATACTAGTCACAGCACAAAAGAAAAGTAGTCGCAGCGGACTATCAGTGCAAGAAAAAAAAGGAAAGGACAGGTTCGGTATCGAACCCACGCCGGTTCCTCGAGAAAGCCACTGAGCCACGCAGACTCATATTCTGTATTGACAATATAATGTTACTATACCTTGTGAATGTTTATACAAAAATTTGAACGTTTAGCGATAAAACTGAAAGCGGATTCGTGCACTACAAGTATAGAAGTATATTTTTGTATAACATTTAAATCATTTTAAAATACGGTTCATTGAGATAACGCCATCAAATTGTTGGTGGGGATGATTAGCCAAATTTGGTTAGTCTTGTTACGATGGGTAAAACTCAACAATTTATTTCGTAGTAACTCGAATTTACACGACTAATAACACAGCGATTATGTACAGAATAATTCCGACTCGACTTTAATGGATTTGACTAGACTGTACTTCTCCCATTATCTGGACTGCACTGACTGCTCCCGAGGGTTCCCATTTAAACAGCACGCGATCGTTCTCGAAAGGCCGCCGTCGCCGTTTCTAGGTTTATTCTGGAACACCCATCGCGACTTCCGCTTTCACACACAAAATTTTGACAACAATCGATCCAGCAGTTTCAGAGAATATGTATCTAATAAAAATGGATATAGACACCAGACAGGCAAACAGACAGACAAACAGACAGACCAATGGAAACGGTAGACTACGTTTTTCTATTACGGTCAGGAAGTAAAAATAGTGGCTTCCACTTATTTTCAGTGAGAAACCATAATTAAAAAAATTATAGGGCGAAAAATTTATAATAGTCACCATTTACTTTTAAAGGATCTGTACTACGTGGTATCTCAATAGAATTAGTAGAATTACAAATATACAGAAAGACTTCTCTACACGTGTAATTCTAACTTAACACTAATGCAGATTTCTAACAGATCTTAATACAAAAAAATTACTATACGTTTGATATAATTAGAGCAGCTTATAAGAAACTAAACTGGTCATAATCAATAGTAAATAGATTTATTTAATACCATCGCCTAGTAAAAACGACTACAATAACCTTCACACAATACCACTCCTCTTCACAATTTTTTGTAGTAGTAGCCCGGGAAAGTGTGTGCTATCGACCTGTTTTCATGTGTAAATATTTTACTATCATAGTCTACACAGTTCAACTTTGCCATCCAAACATATTATTTGTTTTTACATTAAATAACATAATAGTTATATCCTATTACTGTGAAATAATATTCAATTTTTTTGGTATATTTATAATTAAAATGTAAGCGAATGACTCCTATTATTTTTCAAAATTTAATGCTTTAAAAAAGTCTGTATCAAAATTGTAGAATTCTTTTCAAAGAAAACTGTGGAGGTCTTTTAGATCCCATTATTCCTTTTTCTCTAATTTTATCGTAAGGGAGAAATATTCAAATAGGGTCATTTGATTACTGATTAATTTCATATTTTCTCCACGTCTCATAGCTCCTATAAGATGAAAAAGTAGGTCTCCCGTTTCCGTCTGTTTGTTGTCTGTCGTCTGTTAACAACTTTATCAGACAAAAAAATTTACTTCTGGACTGATTGTTGAGAAATTTTAGACGTATTTTAACAATATCTGTAGATGCGTAAACACGAACCAAAATTTGTTTAATCATCAACACCAAGCCTTCATGACGTCACTTCCAACTTTTGCTAAGTAAATCCTCCATTCGGAAACATGTCGCTTGAAACTAAGTGCTCTGAAATTTCAGTCCATCCAACAACTATGACGTCATCTAAAAATTTTGTTGATTAAATGTCACTTGAAAACTTGCAGTATACAAGGAAAAATTAATAAGCAAAAAAAGAACAATTAATCGAGAACACAGCTGAAAATTTTCTCACGTAAAATGTTTTCATAACACATTGCCAACCTAAGCTGAAATAATCTATAGTTCTGGGTTGCACTCCTCATTTACTTTTTACCCATTTCTCAACCCGGTGGCTTAATTGCTTTTGAGTATGATCACGCAAGTTGCAAACAACAACGCTGTAATGGACTATGTCTGAATCCTGAAAGCTTTCTATAAATTTTTATCTAAGATGTAAGCAAGGCCAAATTCAACGATCGAACATCTAACCCACCCTTGACATTGTTCTTTTTTATTTGACGATAACCACCGCTTTACTTTTAAAGCTGTCTATCTCAGATATTGAAACCTGTTGTACAGATTTTCAATATTTCAAACTTCACTGACACTCACTCTTTTCCATTTTATTTAAAAAGCTCATTTTTCATCAATCGATACGTCATTTAAACTAAATAATACTCTCTAAGTATGGCTGTAAATTTAATCGTGCTATATTTTATTACTAAATCTACATAACCATAAACACCAACTACCCCTTTAGAAAGCTCCACCCCTACCGCCATTCCATTCCATTTTATATGAATTGAACCAAAGCCAAAATTTCTAGAATTACCCTAATTGGCACATCCATAATACAACACAGAGCATGGGTACTCCCCCTTGAACGAACAATTTGTATGCACATAGGTATCCAATCAAATATTTATGTTTTCCTTTGTTTAATCCCAGAAGCATCCTAGATTTGCGTGTAATCTCAAGGGTTACGTGTTTCACGCATGTTTGGCAGAGACAACTACTTTTCTTGTTTATCGTACACCAAGTTCCAAGAATAACTGAGCGGATGCGTGCAAATCTGAGACGCGGATGGCTTAGAAGAGGTCCAGACGATAACTTAACTTCCGATAAAGTCGTTTAATATTAAATTTCAACAATTACAGCAAGAAGAGGCGGCTTTGTGAAATGAGCAGTTAAGTCTGGACGCTGTAGTCGCAAAGTTTCTTAAACTTAATACGCTCTTTGCGTCGCACAAAGTTTCGACGAAAAAGAAGGCTTTATTGGCGCCGAAGTGGGCTTTGGGCGATTTCATCTTTATGATCAGATTACAAAAACGCTGTCTTCTAATAGCACGACATTCGTTAAGTTTGTAATAATTTTTTCGGTGGGTCGTATAAGTCGAAAGTTGATAAAAACATCCAGCTTATATAACTATAGGATTATTCTCTTTTAGAAACTTAAGAGCGTCTAGTGCGTCAATTGTTCCTATTGTTTAAATACATCAAAATGTCATAAATCGTAGAACTAAATTCAGTCGTCTTGAAAATTAGTCTGGTGTTTCATCAGGTCACAACATGCCAGTACACAATACACTACCATATTGAATTGAATAACATGAATAATAATACTAACCCGGCGCCTCCACCATTTTACGCATTCAAATTTTATACGTAAAACGTCGTTTAATTTATTTACACGGTAACCTTCGTACTACGTAGTTTAATAACTAAATCCAGTTGTTTCACTTTGATAAAGGAAGTTTTTCTTTTTCAGAATAAACTACAAAATATCTGGCGACCCTCCGGTCTACAGAACATTATACACGCTTCCAGCATTTCGAGGTAAGAAAACACAATACTCCGTTTTAGTTATCGTACCTATTTTCGCAAAGTCATTATATCAGCTTTTCGCAGCTGTAATGAAGGCCTTTTAATGTCGACCCAGTGATTGATCATCTCTGGCGAAGCTAAACGATGAAATTTTAAGAAGCTCCGCTCGTCTGTTTTATTTTTAAATCGCCCTGCGTATATTTTCATATTTGCGGAGATGAAATGATAAATCTTACAAAATCTAATAAGGGAATAATAATAGATGTCAGCCGTTGCACAAAACTGGGTTTTAATGTAGATTTAAAGTTCCTGCTGTCATTCGTAAATTCTGAATAATACTGGAAGTCCCAAATTAATACAAACTGACGACGGGTGAAAAATATTCGTCGTGTTTTTGCCAGACAGTTTCGAATTTTAAGAGTTGGTGGTGATGTAGCCGGAGTCATTTAAAATCAATTTGACGTAGATGCTTTGAAGTTTCCTCTAGAACATTTGGTATTGTTTTTGTGTTTACGATCGGCCACCCTACGTACATTTTTGCATTTAGTAATAACAAAGTTGGGAAGCTGCAATAAAATGAAGTTTTCTCAGACTTGGAATCGTGTAGTGGTCCAGATGTCCGTACTCAAGTTTACTTGTGCTATAAACTTGCAACAATGTAGGCCCGTATTACAGAGCTTTAATCGTCGCACTGCGACCAATAAAACATTTCTGGCATTGTTAGAATAGTATTCGGGTCGTTATCTAGTAATGGTATAATAGTTCTGGAACAATTTATGTAGCACGTATATATTAACTGCGAAAACGTGGATCATAACTGGTTTTAAAAAATACATCTTGAATTTAGTGATTAAAACTCCAACGCAGAAATAAAAACAAGAAAAATAATAATAAAAAGCTCAGTCCTGTATTCTGGTCCCCGTTATAATAGACAAGAAAAATGGAACTATACATCGCTAAATCCATCTGTTCCCGAAACTGTGCAAAAATTACTCCTACAACCACTTATAAAATAATAAAAGGTAGCTTATTTCAACGATATGAGAAAACAAGATAAAATTTCGTCCTAATTCTCCAAAAAAGAACATCGAGAAAAGCGTCACACACTGAAAGAAGACGTAAACTGACCTATTCATCTAAAAAACGGGACATTAAATCAGATTCTGCCTCTTTCACCGTAATTTTCGTTTGTTCGACTGTGAATATGGTTACGGTTATATGGATATGCTCGATCGAACATTTCGATAAAGAGGAAAATTTATTTGTGTTGGATTTTATCATAAAAAGCGTATCGCTGTAGTTACAAAAATACATAATTTGAACTTTATCGAAAAAAAATTTTGCCAGGAGTGTGAACGTTCAGGATAAATTATAAAGATATGTGGTAACAATTCAAACATTTGCGAAAAATTAATTTCTGTTTTGTATTGTTTTGCTGTATTTATTTATGGAAAATTATAAATTTACAAATGAACGAATCGGTTAATTGCGGATTTCCAGAACATGCTTCCAGGTCTCGACTTACTAATAATGATGAAAGTGAAAATATTGGAACGTTCGATTTTATAGTAATTAGTGGAGGTGATAGCGAGTCTGTACATGGTAACGATTATCAGAAATGAATTGAAAATTCTTCTTTAAGAAACTGCATGAGAATAAGTTAATTCTTCCAGCCATTAACTTTTTTAGAAGTTTAAATTTCTTTTTTGATCGTAGTCGCTTTAACGAATAGTACGTACATATTTTACAAATTAAGTTTGAATGAAAAAACTTTACTATTTACTGCAAAGCAATACAATAAATTTTCTAGGTAAAAGTTTAATAAGTTGTGAACATTGATTTAGATTTTAGAAAACTTTAATTAAAATTTGTTTATTCATCTCGTTCGAAAAGTTCATGATATCGTCTGAAAATTACGTTCTAGGATGCATGCAGTATCGATCGTGTTTCAGAAAAGAAGGCTGATAAACTGCCTGCTACTTTTCATAGATATTTCTCTACTTATGCACGTTCATTTTTTAAATAATTCACATCATTTCTGTACCGCTTTCAATTTTTCAACATTTCTTCCACAAGCTTTCAGGGTTATTTAACTTCGTCTGCTCGCTTCACTTGACTTTTCTTTTTTTTTCCTGTTAGAGTAAATATTACCACATTTTATATTAATCATCCTCAGACAATGTAATTATACAAGATTGTATGTAAAGTTGCTTTTTGAAACTCTGAAACTATATTTTTAATAAGAATTTTCCGCTTCCTTATTTCGGCGAACAATTTATTACAAGCTAATAGTAATATACATAAGAATATTCCTGCAAGAAATGCAAGCAAATTGTTATACTTGAGAAAGGCTATGATAGACATCTCCGCTTCTACAGGGTTTTTATAAATGATTCTAAGGGCGTACTTGGCAAAAAACCGTGATTTAATAATTCAAGAAATATCCTTGGAAGATCACGTTACAGATGTAATCGAACTGGCAGTGTCAACAAAGAGAAATCTCATAGAAGATCTTCAGTATCTGAAGAAGTTGTTGGTGAGTTGAGACCACTTGAGCAGAATTCGCAAACATCTTTGACAAAATTTCATCAGCAGTCAGGAGTTCCTGGTACAACATGAAATTGGACAATGGGCATTGCAGAAAGGATTACAGAACATCTTTGAAATTTAAAACAGAGTGAACATGTACCTTGAACAAAATGGTGAACATTTTCAGCATTTAATATGGTGTTTAACCGCAATAAATTTGTTTCTTTTTATTGTAATGAATGAATTAGTTTTATTCTTTTTAAAAGATATGAAGCATTTAAGCAACCAGTTATACAGATGCGTGTGGCATTTATTGTGCGTCGTTGGGCATTTAGTAAGGTCCAAAACTGAGAGGCGGCACGTGTTCATGACCTACTTCGACCCTATAATCATTTAAAAAAACCTTGTAGGGTTGAGTAATACACTAAAATTTATAATGGCCTTAGAAAAAATCACTTAAAACAATACTTAAATATGTAACTAGGTAATTTTACCAAGTTTTGTACCAGGTCTACTTTGGAATATAAATAGCGGTTGCGCTAATGCAATGTACACATTGTTAATGCAATTAATTCCTAAAATAAAAAAAGATTCGCAGAAAAAAAATTCAAAAACAACTATTTTTGGAGATATTTCAACCAATATTTGAAAATTTGACATTTTCTCTGTGAACCAAACAGTTATTCAACTTTCTCTAATTTAACTACATTTGTAGCTCATCCTCATGTTTATTCTGGTCCATTTGGTGGAATGTGACGCCGGCAAAACATTTAGAATGAAGTATAATAGTTCCCTTTCTCGACCTTCCCGACCCCACATTATTTCGATCCGATAAAGTCCCCTTTATCCATCTTTCCGACCCAACGCTAATTCGAACCCACAAAGTCCCCTCCAGCTTCCCGACCCAACGCTAATTCGATCCGATAAATCCCCTTGGTCCACCTTCCCCAAAGCTAATTCGATCCAAGAAAGTCGTTTTTCTTCACCTTCCCGACCCAAGACTAATTCGATCCCAGAAAATCCCGTCCCCATCCTCCAGCTTCCCGACCCAACGCTAGTTCGATTCGATAAAATCCCTTGGTCCACAACTTCCCTAGCCAAGGCTAGCTCGATCCAACAAAGACCCCTTTCTCCACCTTTCCGAATACTCCAATTCGGGGTCCTTTGACTCATTTCATCTTTTCTTGACGTTTCAAAACTCTTGGAATATGAGAAAATAGGCCTCCCGTTTTTGTCTGTTTATCGCCTGTCCCTTCCTGTCTCTTCCATTAACCTCCAAAACAGCACAAATTCGACGAAATTATCTCAAAATTTTACTCACTAAATCCTATTTCAAATGTAGAAAGTGCTTTCTCTACCTTTAATCCTTTGTATGCAGATTTTTGGAAAATTTTCAAAATTATACAAGAAAATTTTAGAATCCGTCTTATAAACTACTTTTGCAGACGCTTGCAGATTGGCATAAACAGATCATTAATTAAAATTCCTATATTCGTTCCTTCCATAACTTTGATGACGTCATCTCAAAATTTTGCAGATAAATCTGCTTTATATGTTTAATTATAAGAATATACGAATTCAGGACTGAAGATAATAAAAAAAAAATTGTGAAAACAAAAATTAATTAATGAAACATTTATTTTATAAATCAAATCAAGAACGATTCACTCCGTTTTCCGAAATTTTGAAAAAATAATATTGCTATTATTGGTACTAAGTACATTGCCCCTGTTCAAACTGTTTCATTCTCTTGCTAAACTGTTGATGATGAAGAGGTAATCATAAAATTTTGTTATATAAAACTCATTGCAAATACAACACAAACCATGGTCGAGTCGACGGTGGAAACGCGTACATCAAACCCATCAAACCCCGAAAAATTGTGACCATTTTAACCGGCAGTTACGTTAATAAAATCGAAGTTTTCGGCAATAAAAGTGTAAGAGGGGTAAAATTCTCACGTCAAAACCGCACCTATTTTGTCAAGTGTTCAAAAGAAGTGATTTTATCGGCGGGCTCTATCGCGTCGCCACACATACTTATGTTATCAGGAATTGGACCCTCTCCACATTTACGACAAGTCGGAATTCCAGCTATTCAGGATTTGCATGTGGGGAATACTTTACGGGATCACGCTGACTTCCACAGACTGGTTTTTAATTCGAATATCGTCAAGGTGTGAGGTCATTGACTGTTCCTAATTGAAACAAGTACGAAAAACTCAGTTCTCCAGATCTGGAAATTGTTATGATTCCCATTGATGAATTCTCGGATACGCTTTTAAAAGCTCGCGGAAAAATCTGGATGCATTTAAATCAGACCGGATCGTTCATAACGCACATTGTGGCCATACATTCCAAAGCGGTGGGTTCTTTTCGATTAAAAAGCTCCAATCCTTACGATTATCCTTTAATCGACGCGAGATTTTTATCAGATGCGGACAGCCGTGACATTGATACCTTGTACGAAGGGATTAAACTTGCTTGAAATTTAACAGAGACTAAAGTGTTAGCAAAAATGAACGCCAGTTTGATTAAACAGAGTTATCACAGTGCGACAAAAAGTCTGTCGGAGATTTCTGGACATCCGAATATGATTTGTGTTGTGATAGGAGAAAAAAATTTCAGGCTTGATAAAAAAGCAACATTTGTCCTAAGTTTGTGGGGAATAAAGGCACGTTTAAATCAATGGGGTTGTTTTATTGTGTTATTGATTGTATTGGTCGTTCTGTAAACAATCAATCATCGCTTATTTATCTTGTGTAATAAATTTTGGTTGAACTAGGATTGCAGGTTTTATGACATACACGCCGTATAAATAAAACATACGCACAGATAATAGAAATGGTGAGTCAAAATACATTTTGGTGGAAAATAAAGTCGTTACAATGATTTAGGTTCGGTTTTTGTAAAAACAATATTTAGTAAATTACACCTCGAGCCTGGAATTGCGAACAGGGTAAAATATGACATGGTGATCTAAACAGCCAGATTTGTTCAACAAATGTTTGATATGATGTCTAGAGAGCGGATTTATAAGCACAAAAAAATTAAGAATAAGCGCTTAAATAAGCACAACATTTTAAATAAAAGTTTTATTTTAAGCAAAAAAGCATTAAAAACATAATCATATTACAAATCAAAGAACACTTCTTAGAACTTTGGATAAAATATTATTACAATAATCCTAGACTTTATATTTTACACACGTATTTCAGTTTTCTTTAAAACAATTTATCATTGTAATATGTTCCAAGTTGTCCACTGTAAAATTTTTTCGCCGATCATTTAAAATGTGTTTAAAATTGGAGAATGTGCGTTCAACATCCACACTCGTTGTTGGCGCAAATTTGAATTCTGCAACTAATGTTGAATCTAATTCCAAATTTTCCACCTTCTGGCCTTGTAAAACACGAGCAACGTCGGAAAGAACACCGAAACCTGCATTTTTATTTAACACTTCGTCAAGTTTTTGAGATACTCTAGTACCAATATCACCCCTTACTGCGTTTGCTTGTTGTTTAAATTCTTTCACTAAGTTTATGGCATCTACCAACAACATGTTGGGTTTTTCTAACTTTTCTATTACCTCACATACGAATTGATAATTGCTTCTTAGAAAAGCTAGATCTTGTCGCAAATCTTTGTTTTCCAAAATATTTATGCAATCTTTAATCGATTGAGAAGAATCTTCGCCAAACTCCGTAACTACTTCCTCAAATTCTTTGATATATTTGTCATAATAAAATGTGGCCTGTAATCATGTTCCCCACCTCGTTATAATCGGCTCTAGGGGGCAATGGTATGTTTGGAAATTTGTCCTTAAAATGTTGCACTCTTAGTAGGGCTTTAACAAAAATCTTTTTACCATTTGCCACTAATTTATTAACAGCAGGAAACTGCAAACGTATTCCTTCAGCCACTCTGTTTAAACCGTGGGCAATGCAAGTAGAGTGAATAAATTGGGGTACAATATTTTTAGATTATTCCCTGCTTTCAACATATAACGAGCTGCATCCGAGATCATCAATAAAATTTTATTCGCCGGTACGACATTTGGCAAAAATAGTGACGTAAGACTGTCATTTACAAATCTGGTAATCGTATTGCCATTTGTTTTATCTAACATTTTCAAACTTGCTACATACCCTCGACTAGGGAAATTTTCATTTAAGATTCCAACAATTAAACTTGCCACGTGTCTTCCACAACTATTGGTTGTTTCATCGACAGCGAACCATAAATAATTATGTCCAAAGCGATGTTTAATTTCGTTGTAAACTTGCTGAAACACTGGGCCTACATAATTTTTTCGCAGAGTACTTTCAACCGGAATATGTCGATTGCAGTGTTTTTCAAGGAATTCTTGAAGAGGGCCTTTCTCGAATTTTTTTAAAGGTATATTGGACTGGATCATCATTTTACATTAATCGAAATTAAACTGAAACTGCTCATCTTTTGTGGAAGTAGATGCAACAGATTCATGTATGGTCTGCTGTTTAATTTTAGAAACTTCTAACATTTTCTTCCTTTCTACATGAAGAGTCGTTCTGACATGTTGCGTCACGTTATATTTTTTATCACTTTGAATCTAAAACAACGTACATATACAGGATTAACAAAGGAAAATAGATTAAAAAAAATTAGTGGGCTTACGGTTTTCACACAAGCTCTACAGAATATTTTGTTGTTTTCTAATTTTAATTCTGGAAAATCCCTTATCCACTCATCCGGCGTCGATTTTACTTTCGGCATTCTTTTAAAATAGCAGTAATATTACACAAAAAGAACTCAACATGTAACAAGAGAGAACCACGTATAACACTGCACAACGACAGATGCGATAGACTGATGGTTGTGAAATAAATGGTTCATTTACTTAAAAGTTTCCATTAGACAAATTTTAAGGTAGGTAGTTGGGTACAGTAATCCTTTTTTCTAGAAAATCTTCAACGGTCTTGCCGCAAAATGCCGAAAAAGAACATCTGGTTAAATGCTTTAATTCATTATCAACGGAAGTAAGGATTTAAAGTCATAAAATCTATGGAGTATTTTTCCAATCCTATAATAACATTTTATTACCCAAACGACCGGAACCTATTCACAGAAAGGGTCTTGAGTAAGTCTACTTCAATAGTCAAGTCTAGGTAAAATGCATACGATACGATACGGCTAACTAACAAGTATTTGTCATCCCGACAAGGCCGGCATTTGAACAAAAACTCATATTCGTCGAAAAAAGCATTAAATAAGCATATAAGTTTTAATATGCATAAAATTGAAAAAAAAAGCAAATAAGCATTAAAAAAAATGTGTCAAATGACTCCAAATTGTATCATAGTTACAGATATAAAAAAGTTTTGAAGTGCTTACATTTTTCACAAAAAGCATTAAACCTAGAAATCCGCTCTCTAATGATGTCAAACATGAAAACTTTCAGAGCAACAGCTTTTCTAGTTTCTAAGTCAAATTGTAAAACTTTGTTGTACAATTTGGTACTTTTTTCCAAAAACCTACAAGCATAAAATTAAAAATCCTTATACGTGACTAACAAAGTACAGGTATAGAAGCATAATTATTATTTTGAGCAGTTTAAACAGGATTTGCTTGACAAAATGACTTTATAAGAATTTTAGGTAGGGATATTTCGATCCAAATAAGCGGCAAACAGTAAAAAGTAACATAAAAATGTCATTCACATATATACCTATAGCATAGGTACTTTAATCGTTACGAAAACACATTTTGTTAACTTGTTTATATTTGGTCTGGGGAGCGATTCTCCTCCATCCATGATAAGAAACGGATTGGCAATTTGCGTGTAAGGAGGCAAACCATCAGTGCAATGAGGCACCTGATCCTCGCGTCGGAGAGACTAACCTTCAGGTCACTGACTACACGAAAGTAAAAAAGACTAGTTTCCCTACAAATTCACGCATTTCCAGTGGTGTTCATGCCAAATTAAAGATAAAAAAGGCAAAGATCATGCCATTACCTCAGTTTTATGAAGGAAAACATTTTGCTTAAATTGCAACTTAACCCTCAACAAGGACGCAAGTGTGTGGGCGACCAGAAGGCTAAGGTGGAGAGAAATTGTTTTTTAGATTAATGACGAACGACGAACAAACAACAACAGATAAATTAGAAATGTATTTCGGGACCTAGAAATTGCGTAATGACGAAAAGTATGAAATTAATTACCTTTTACATTAAAAAGAGAGCTTAAAATAGAAAAAAATTGTCATCCTTTGATATCAAAGTCGCATTCTTTCCATTTATAACACTTTTAAAGTCTCAAAAGGTTAAACAGTCAAGTCAAATAAATCTAATTAGACCTTATTTAATACAGGACAACATATTTTGAAACAGCCATCTTCCTTTTAGTGGAAATGCGTAATTATTTATACGGTGCGGAACGATAGAAAAAAACATGAATTTCAACATTCGCCAAAACAGTACACTACTTTCCTTAACTAAAACAATCTCAAAAATGACACGTACATAGAATTTCCAACCTTAACCACCGACATATTAACATTTGCTTTGCCTCCGTTCTAGTCCTCCGTTCCGATAACATCTCCACCGACCGGATATCGAAACCCTCCCGAACAATAAGAACGCACCCCATCCTCCCCGCCGCCACTTCCATCCGCCGAAACCCCTTCCTACTTAACCCCCATTACAACAGCTAACCGTTGAAAATTCAATTTCCAATTTCAGATTGTCAGCTCCGCCTAAAGAAGCCCGAAGCAATAATCAGCTCCACCGACCTCTCGCCCACCGTCGACTGCCAAGTGTGGTTCCCGGTCCACGGCACCGGCCACAGCCTCGTCGTGGAACTGACCCGCCTCAACGTCCCCTGCTCCAGAGGCTACGTGCACTTCTCGGGGCTCAACGTCAGCAACCAACACCAGCACTTCCGTAGCCACAGGCAGGCGCATCTGTGCGGCAAGCTCGAGGAGTTGGCCGAGAGCGACCGTCACGTCTACTTCCCCTTCTCGCACACACCGCCCGTCATGCACACCCACGGAAATCCGGTCTTTACTTTGTCTTACCATCTGGTGGACTATTGTTATAACGTCACTTTTGTTACGAGGAATGGGAGCTTCGAGCTGAAACCGACGGGGGAGCTGCAGTGTACTTTCAAGATATATTTGCCGTATGGGAATAGAGTGGCGATGAGTCTGCAGATTGGGGATAGTAGCTCGACAGGTGAGGATTCATTAGTGTCTTAGTTTTGGCCGGATTGGGGGTAATACGAGATGTAATGCGGTCGCAAGTGCGGCTGCAGCTGTGGAACTCGGGTCATTAGTAAAACGATAAAAAATAATTAGCCTGATGGCGTTCCAGTGATGCGTGGAAGGGGATTGGACTAACATGGTAGTATTTAGGATTGGTTCTGCTCTAAGCTAAATATAATAAAATTTTATATACCGGGTGTAAGAGATTTTGAATGAATGCGACTGAGTGCATCATATGTAAAGAGCGGAATCTAGGGCAAATGCCTTTTCATTTTGGTTATAGACAAATGCATGAAAGGGTCGCTAGAGTGTATGGAAACGGTTAAATAACTTGAGAACCAATTGTGCAAATCACCTGAAATTAGGTACAAGGGCACAAATAGTTGTGCTCTATTTTCTTTTAATGGCACTACCATACAATTAATGCATTTCTAAATAGAACTTTTTTTTAATTCCCTGATATAATAGTACCTGCTAAGATACGACTAATTTTGGCAAATGACATACCCTCTGAGACAATAAAGGGCGGGTGGGCGTGACTAGTACCTGCTCAGATCAGACTGATTTTGGCAGATGACATCTCCAAGAAAATAAAAGAAATTCTTGAAATTTTCCACTGATCAGAAAACTTGCAAGATTTAATGTTAAACAGAATAGGTAATGGTCCCACGAAAACATTCACACAATGGCTTACAATAAAAGCCGGTATTTGATCAGGGCTATTAGTCATTTTAGGCTTCCATTCTTTGGTTGCCGAATACATATTTGCTTGCGTAATACATTTTAAATTCATGACAGATTTGTTCACACTGGAACAAGTTAAATCAGACCGAACTTTATTTTTATTTATAAATGACTGAGCAAAAAGTTTCGCAAATCCATCGGCTCTTTCTTTTGGATCGGCCAAATTAATACCGTTCTGATAATAATATCTGATAGAATATTAACAGATCTTTCCTTCGGATAACTGGCAGACTTTTTATTTTCTTTGGACAGAATATTCATCAAAAAAAGACCAATTTACGAAAAGCAAGGCCTCGTATAGTGACATTGAGACAACACATTGATCCCACTTGGTTAAAACAAGATCCAAGAGGCGATTATTTACTATTTTATTGTACTGGTCCAAATGGCAAAATGTCTTAAAGTTGTTAATACATTGAAAAAAAACTGTCGCTGAAACTTTATTCAATGTGCTTGTGACAAAATCTGGATAGCTGAATTCACCTAAGACGATGATTAAATTAGTAAGACATGAACATAGAAGCCAAAAAAATGGTCATTATTGTTATTGATTTAGAATTTTTTGGCCAATGACGTGAACGCTAACAATTATGTATACAGGGTGATTAAATTAATAAATTGTCAGTTTTTTCGTGTTTTTCACATGGAACACTTCAATTTTATCATCTTACGTATCTCTTAGCAGGTACTAGCCCCCCGCACCAGCTCTCTATTTTCTTACCGAGTATGTTATTTGCCAGAATCAGTCTCATCTTAGCAGGTACTACGAGCCCTAACAACTAAATATTGGGACGACTATAAATTGTTATAAAAAAATCACCAAACTTAAACAAAAATGTAATTTATTTTAGATAATTACAATTTTAAAAATTAATTCGTTTAAAACTTTTTTTTTAAACTGTTAATGTTTACAGCACAACAAAAACTAATTTCTAACTCAAACAGTAACATAAAACTCTAAAACAACGTAACGTTTTATGACACATAAATATTGGGACAATGCAAATTCAGTAACTGATCACATCTCCTTTTGCCTTAATAACTGCAGGACTACTTTCGACTAATTTTCTGCAATACACAGGAGTTATTAATGTATCCTACACTAAATTTCTTGTTGAAGATTGGCAATCGTTTATTACGGATGATTTCCCAAATAATTTTTTAATTCACGCCATACCTTCTCTACTAGATCTAGCCTTTTTCGTCCTTTTTGTCCCTTTTCGTCCATATTATCCTTTTTTTCGTCCTTATTCGTCCTTTGCGTCCTTGGACGTCCTTTTTCCTAATTTTTGTCTATTTTCGTCCTTTTCGTCCTTTTTCGTCCTTTTTGTCCTTTTTCGTCCTCCTTCGTAGTTTTTCGTCCTTTTCGTCCTTATTATCCTTTTTCCTCCTTTTCGTCCTTTTTCGTCCTTTTACGTCATTTGTCGTCCTTTTTCGTCCTTTCCATCATTATCGCCCTTTTCATCCGTTTCGTCCTTTCTCGTCCTATCCATCATTATCGTCCTTTTCGTACTTTTTCGTCCTTATTCCTGCTTTTCGTCCTTTTCGTCCTTTTTCGTCCTTTTACGTCATTTATCGTCCTTTTTCGTCCTTTCCGTCATTATCGCCCTTTTCATCCGTTTCGTCCTTTCTCGTCCTATCCATCATTATCGTCCTTTTCGTACTTTTTCGTCCTTATTCCTGCTTTTCGTCCTTTTCGTCTCTTTTCGTCCATTTTCGTCCTTTTCGTCCTTTCCGTCCTTTTTCATCCATTTTGTCCTTTTTCGTCCTTTTCGTCCTTTTTGTCCTTTTTCGTCCTTATTATCCTTTTTCCTCCTATTCGTCCTTTTTCGTCCTTTCTAGTCCCTTTTCGTCCTCTCTCGTCTTTTTCGTCCTTTGTGTCCTTTTTCGTGGTTTTTCGTCCTTTTCGTCCTTTTTCGTCCTTATTATCCTTTTTCCTCCTATTCGTCTTTTTTCGTCCTTTCAAGTCCCTTTTCGTCCTCTCTCGTCTTTTTCGTCCTTTTTGTCCTTTTTCGTCCTTTTTTGTCGTTTTCATCGTTTTTCGTCCTTATTATCCCTTTTCCTCCTGTTCGTCCTTTTTTGTCTCCTTTCGTCATGTCTCGTCTTTTTCGTCCTTTTGCGTCCTTTTGGTCCTTTTCGTCCTTTTTCGTCCTTCTTCGTCCGTTTTCGTCCTTTTGCCTAATTTTCGTTCTTTTTCCTAATTGTCGTCCTTTTCGTCCTTTTGGTCCTTTTCGTCCTTATTCGTCCTTTTTCGTCCTTCTTCGTCCTTTTGCCGAATTTTCGTTCTGTTTCCTAATTTTCGTCCTTTTGCCTAGTTTTCTTTCTTTTTCCTAATTTTCATCCTTTTCGTCCTTTTTCGTCTTTCTTCCTACTTTTCGTCATTTTTCGTCCTTTTTCCTACTTTTCCTTCTTTTCGTCCTCTTTCGTCCTTTTCGTCCTTTTTCGTCCTTTTCCTTACTTTCCGTCCTTCTCGTCCTTTTTCGTTCTTTTTCGTCCTTTCTCGCTTTTTTTCGTCTTTTTCGTTCTTTTTCGACCTGTTTCCTAGTTTCCGTCCTTTTCGTCCTTTTTCGTCCTTATTCCTGCTTTTGGTCCTTTTCGTCCTTATTGGTCCTATTTTGTCCTTCGTCCTTTTTCGTCCTTTTGCCTAATTTTCGTTCTTTTTCCTAATTTTCGTCCTATTCGTCCTTTTTCGTTCTTTGTCGTCCTTTATCGTTTTTTTTTCGTCCATTTTCGTCCTTTTCGTCCTTTCCATCCGTTTTCGTCCTTTGTGTCCTTTTTCATGGTTTTTCGTCCTTTTCGTCCTTATTATCCTTTTTTCCTTCTATTCATCCTTTTTCGTCCTTTCTCGTCCCTTTTCGTCCTCTCTCGTCATTTTCGTCTTTTTTCCTCCTTTTCGCCCTTTCTCGTCCCTTTTCGTCCTCTCTCGTCTTTTTCGTCCTTTTTCGTCATTTTGGTATTTTTCGTCCTTCGCCCGTTTTCGTCCTTTTGCCTGATTTTCGTTCTTTTTCCTAATTTTCGTCCTTTTCATCCTTAATCGTCCTTTTTCGTCCTTCTTCGTCCTTTTGCCTGATGTTCGTTCTTTTTCCTAATTTTCGTCGTTTCCGTCCTTTTTCGTCCTTATTTTTCATACTTTTGGCCTTTTCGTCCTTTTACGTCCTTCTTCGTCCTTTTTCGTCCTTTTGCCTAGTTTTCGTTCTTTTTCCTAATTTTCGTCCTTTGTGTCCTTTTTCGTCTTTCTTCCTATTTTTCGTCATTTTTCGTCTTTTTTCCTACTTTTCCTTCTTATCGTCCTTTTGCGTCCTTTTCGTTCTTTTTCGTCCTTTCTCGCTTTTTTTCGTTCTGTCCCGTATTTTTTCCTAGTTTCCGCCCTTTTCGTCTTTTTTCGTCCTTTTTCATCCTTTTGGTCCTTTTCGTCCTTTTTCGTTCTTTGTCGTCCTTTCTCGTTTTTTTTTTCGTCCTATTCGTCCTTTTCGTCGTGGGCCAGGACAGTACTAATAATAATAATATTATTATTCTTTATAATAAGTTTTGTAGTTGCGTAACTTGAAACATCGTCCTGTTGAAAAATATAAATACCTACAAGGTAGACTGCTACAGTACTTGTTAATATTTTTTTATAAAGTCTCTTGATATTTGTTTGCATTTGTAATTAAATGAACTTTGTTAATTGGCCTTTAAGCACTTTGTAGTACTCCGTCGTCCACTTTTATAAATTTTCATTAGTTGTCGATCACGCGGCTTCACAAGTGGTGACCTACCGGGAATTTTACCTTTTATTTCTATGGTACCTCTGTCTGCGTAATATTTTATGAAGTTTCCTATCGACGATTAAGCTATTTGGAACAAATCTGCACTTTTCCTAATCGATTTTCTCTTGCAGTACTACTAAATTATTATTTTGAGAACTTTTACTAAAACTTGCACACCGCAAACTATTTTTTCTAAATAAAACCATCACTAGAGTGAAATACTGTGATGCCTATAATAATGGCAGCATTCGCCAGCTACTAAATTTGTAATTCCATGAAATTTTCTCGGGTGTCCCAACATTTAAATGTCAGCAAAAATGGCACATTTTTATTCAAGTGACAATTTTTGCTTTATAAGAAAATTTATTAATTTGCAAACTCACTCTCTGGCGAAATATATGCCCATGCAAAATTTGCATTTAGTCCAAACGAATTGAATGATATCAAAAATAGGTACCGGATTTTTATCACAAAGTAT